ATGTACAAGATCCTATCTAAGTGTCTTTCGAGAAGGTTGAGATGTATTAACGATATTATCAGTGAGTCACAGTTTGCTTTTATTCCTGGGAGACAAATTCTGGACTGCTCTTTTATTGCTAATGAAGGAATTGATTTGTGGAGGAAGAAAGGGTTGAAGGGTTGTGTCTTTAAGGTGGACTTCAAGAAGGCTTATGATTCATTAGATTGGAACATTCTCTTTAAAGTCATGAACAAAATGGGGTTTGGTTCTAAGTGGTGTAATTGGATTCGAAAGTGTGTTACAACTGCTTCGGTATCAGTTTTAGTTAACGGTGTTCCTACTGCTGAATTTCCTATAGCTAAAGGTCTTAGACAGGGTTGTTCCCTTTCCCCACTGCTGTTTAATTTTGTTGGAGAACTGCTGAATCTGCTGCTACGTAAGGCAGTATCTTCAGGTCTGTTTTGTGGCCTGATTGTTGGTTGCGATGAGGCTTCAGTTAATCTATCTCATCTGCAATTCGCAGATGATCTAATTATTTTCTGCAATGCATCGAAGACACAGGTAAATAATGTTAAGAGGATCCTACGTGTTTTCGAAGTTATGTCAGGCCTGAAATTGAATCTGTCTAAGAGCAAATTATTTGGATAAATATTGATGAGGAAGTGATTCTTCAGTGGGCTAATGCTGTTGGATGCTCGGTAGGACATTTCCCTACGGAATATTTGGGGTTGCCTCTTGGTGCTAAGAGGAATTCGCTATTGGTGTGGGATCCGGTTGTTCAAAATTTTTATAAGAGGTTAGCAGGTTGGAAGGCTAAGACTTTGTCAATGGCAGGGAGGTTGATTTTATTGAAGACAGTTTTGAGTTCCTTGCCTACATATTTCATGTCTCTGTTTAAGATACCGTCTTCGGTGATGGCGAAGCTTAACTCCATCATGGCCAGATTTCTTTGGGGAGGAGGTGTGGAGGAAAAAAAAATTCACTGGGTCAATTGGTCGACTGTGTGCGTTGGAAAGAATGCTGGGGGTCTTGGTGTTCTGGATGTTAGTTATATGAATAGAGCTCTCCTAGGGAAATGGTCGTGGAGATTTGAAAACAATAGGGAGTCAGTGTGGAAGAAGGTTATTTGCTGTAAATATAATCTGGACCCTAATTCTCTGATGTTTAATGAGGAACTACCTGCATATGCTTCTTGGATATGGATATCGGTGGTCAATAATCACTTCAAACAGGATCAGTTTGGAGTAAAGTTCCGAAGCTTGTTTAGAGTTAGAGTGGGGGATGGGAGGAGTGTCAGATTTTGGTATGATTGTTGGGCGCTTGATACCCCTCTAAATCTGGTTTTCCCGAGAATGTTTGTTCTTTCGGTAAATAAGTATGGGAAGTTGAATGAGTTTGGGGAGTTTCGGTCTGCAGGCTAGTCTTGGCATGTTCAATTGAGAAGGAATTTAAGTGATTGGGAACTGGTTCAATTCTCTGATTTATTGGCTTTAATTCATAATATCACTCTTTCTCATGATTGTTCTGATGGGTTAGTCTGGAGAGGGAATGGGGAAGGAGTTTATGCTGTCAATTCGAGTGTAAAGTCATGTTGTACTGCAAGTACAACAGACCCTTTTTGGATGAAGTATGTTTGGAGGGGTTTGGCGCCTCCGAAAGTGGAGGTATTTATGTGGCAAGTGGTGCTTCAAAGATTGCCAGTTAAACTAGAGTTACAGAGGAGAGGAGTTTCAGCTATTGCTGACGCTGGTTGCCCTTAATGTAACAAGGCGGATGAGTCCTCAACACATTTATTTTTTACTTGTGTTGTGGCGTGGTCTTTATGGAACAAATTTTTGAATTTCTGGGGAGTTTGTTCAGCTTTTCAAGCCAATGCTCAAAATTTATTGTTTGCTTGGGATGATTTGGTACCTAATTCTAAAATTTGGTCCTTCATTCCGGGTGTGGTTCTACGGTCAATTTGGAAGTGGAGGAATGCCATTGTGTTCGATGGGGGGAGGTTAGATCAGATTGATTTATTTTTTATGGCGAGAAGTAGGTTGGCGTCTTGGTTCTTAGCTAACTTCAAGGAGGTATATATTCCTAAGGACTCTCTCATTAGTGATCCATCACTTGGGGATAGTTGCTCTTACTCAAGCTCTCCTATTACCTTAATTGTGCCCTGGTCACGCCCTCCAAAGGGCTTTTTAAAGTTGAATGTGGATGCGGCAGTGACGGCAGACTGGAGGAAAAGTGGTGTTGGAGGCATTCTTAGAGTTGAGGATGGTTCGGTGGTTGGTTCTTTCAAAGAGGCTGCTGGCCCAGGTCCTCCTATCTTGATTGAGCTTTGGGCAATCAAGAAGGGATTATCCTACTTTACTTCGATTCAACAACGTTTTAAGGAACGTTTAATCGTTGAATCTGACAGTAAAATAGCAGTTGATTGGGTCAAGAATAAGGAACGATGTCCTTTGGTCTACATTGACTTAATGAATGATATTGGTGATAAGTTTAGAGGTTTGAATGGTATTATTAGATGGGTTGCTAGGTCAGCCAATGTTGAGGCTGATACTCTAGCAAAGGAGGGTATTGGATAGATACATTGTTCTAGTTGATTCAGGTTATTTTTCGCTTTGTTTTGGGATGTTGTTAAAGGAGTCTGTGTGGTAGTTTTTAAGTATTATGTAACTGGAGGTTATTAATGAAGTTTTTAGGCACTCTTTCCTCCTTCCACTGATTAAGGAGCACATTGTGATCCATTAATCAAGAAGGGGGTTTTAACGAGGCCTACCATTCCTATAAAAAAAAAAGAGCATCAGCCATCACTTCCTCTATTGTTTCCCGGGCAGCAGTTTCTGTTTTGTGGGCAAAGATAGTGAAGAGCTCCTTTGATCTCGTCCAAAATATTATAGATAATTCAGGGCAACTAGCCAACTAAAATCAAATATCATAACGCAACTCATGCTCTACCTAATCCTCCCTGCCGCTATTTGCTTTTTGATTCCTCAGTTCTTTAGAAGTTCCCAACACATTTCATTTGGATTAACAGCTAAAATGTTTCAAGTAATCAAACAAAGTGTTCCAGAAAAGCACAACCCTGCATTTGTTTGTCCACAAAGTGTTAAACCTTTAATGCCTTAAATATCCAAAATGGTATATTCGCTTTTAAATTCAGGAAAACATTACTGTCTATGGCTTTCAAAGGTGGATAAGCAAATTCTCAGCTGATAACACTCTCATGCCTTCAAAAAATAATGAATTGAAAACCTCAAAAGAAAATGCTAATTATCTGTCAATCTCCGAGACAAAAAAGAAAAACAAACAAACATTAAAACCCTAAGCTTCAAAAACAACCATTAAAAAGAAGGAGAAGGGGATAGGGGAAGAAATAAGGAATTACCGCCAACGCTGTTATGATTAGAGCAACCGGCTACGGCACGAGCGAGAACGGGAGGAGGATCGGGAAGGGGGTCGGAGAAAGGCATAATCGGCACCAATCCTAAAATAACCGGGCGGTTGGTGGCCACCGCCACTTCGTGCTCGAAGTCCCAGATTTCACCATTCCTATATCTCTTCATTATCCAACACGAAAATTCTTCTAATTTGAACAGCCAAAGTTGTGATCTCAAATTCTCAATGAACTGAAAGCATTTTTTTTTTTGGATTAATGAAAGCAATTTTTTATTGATTTGGTGGAATTGGCTTATTGAATCAAATTGGTCATTCTGTGATCTGTACGCACTGACATTACATATATGTTTTTAAAAATATTACTTAATAAACTTATGGGTAAATTGCAAATTTAGTAATTAAACTTTACTTTCTATCCTATTTCAACCATTATACTTTAAATCTTTTTAATTTATTCACTAAACTTAATAAACATTGAGTTTTTTTATCAGTCAACCGTTTTCTCACTAATAGCATTATAAATGAGCTTTTATATAGATACAAAATGACATTGTTTTGGTGATAAAATGGCATCATTATAACGTTGTTAACTATTTAACAGTGAAACGACAAAAAAAGAAATCAATATATTAAGTCCATTGAGAAAATTAAAATCTTTTAAAGTTTAGTGAGTAAAATAGAAGAGAAAGTAAAGTTTAGTGATAAAATTTGTAGTTTACCCTAAATTTATTAATGTTTCAGAAATATTTATATGAGATATTTCTAATATCAAAGTATTATAATAAGATTACATATGATAAAAAAGATATCCGGACGGCCAATGCGCCAAGGGCTAAAATGCGTGTGTGATGCTTGCTTGGATTGGATCATCCCATGTCTTTTAATTCATGGTAAATTATGTGTTTAGTATCTGAACAATTAATTTTGATTTATTTTAGTATTTAAATTTTTATTTTTCTAAAATAATACTTAAAGTTTAGTTTTTGTTTCATTTTAATATCCGTTGTTAAAAACTTAACATGTTTAGTATTTAGACTATCAGTTTTTATCCTTTTTAATATTTAAACTATCAACTTTGAAACTGGAATATGCACAGGTACTTATTGGATGTGATGCAGCAATGTCGTCAATCACTTACTCTCATCGATGGAGGATTTGTCCGTCTTAGGATTCCATCTTCCCGACGCGAGACGATTGTTACACGAACATATCCATATTCATGGTCAGTCTATTCGTTGATCAGCTAACAGCGCTGCTCATGCTCTTGCTTGTTTTGCTTTATCTGTTTCTGGGTCTTTATATTATGCTTATGATTCTCCCTCTTGTATTAACGACATTATTGTTTCGGATGCTATTGCTGCCTAAGTAATAAGTAATACAATACGACCTTTCCTTTAAAAAAATCTCTATAAAATAAGTCAAATAAGAAAATTTTGGGGGTTGGGAAACATAATTTGACCATGTTTTTATATATTTAATTTTGAGACTAAAGCTAAAATTTAATAAAAAAAAATCTTCGGGGGGGGGGGGGGCAAAACTAATTTTTTAGACCTAAAATTGAATTATTATAGGGCCGGACAAATGCTAAAATAATCCCATTAAAGCAAAAGGGACATGGAGAGACAAAGGAACCAATTAATACTGCATGAGTTTATTCATACCATGATTAACAGTGGAGCAACATAAATTTACAGCTTCTCAACAGGAAAACCAATAACAGGACTTATCTCCGATGCCAGTGAGCGTAGCTCCTCCACTTCTTTGCCGCTCAGCCTCCAGCCAAGTGCACCTGCAAATTCCTCAACTTGTGCAGCACTCTTGGCTCCCGGGATTGGCACAACATTCTCTTGAGCTATTAACCAGTTAAGCACAACCTGTAGAAAAAACAAGCTCGTTTCGTAAAAGATCTCGGGGTCGGCACATTTCAAAATACCATATCAAGTAGTCACAACTCATGATGAGAAAGGATGGTAAGAAAACAGCCTGTTTGCAGTTTCCATCTATTTGTGGCAGCTCACAGATGTGTATCTAAAATAATCTAGTGCTAGTGTTGTTACCGAGGAGATTGATACATCTATATCGAATTAGGATAATTCCATCAATGAGGACCTAAAGAATTGCAAGGCTTTGTATTTTTTTCTCATCAAGTGATCTCAGTAAAAGCTGTTCGAGAGAAGTCATCCATGTGATCTTAGTGCACGGCTGTATATGCTGTTCAGTCGAGAAACAGATCATGGAAGTAAAAAATACTTTAAAGACTACTATAGCGTCAATTGCTTCACCAACTAGGGCAAAACTTTCCCAGCAAGCTTAAGCCATGATTACGAGGTTATTTTAGATTGTATGGCCTATACTGCTCATGATTGTAATTGAGCTTAGTCACATCTTACACAGTGAGCCAAAAAATGCCATCAAACCTTAATGCCTAGATGTCCAATGGAGTTTCTAATGCAGGATCCTTTTTAGATTAGTACTGTTAATTCGGCCATAATCTTGAAGCGTCGATTCTATTGAAAGAAAGCTAATCTAGTAGAAAAGAAGAAGAACAAACCTGTGTTTGAGTTTTCCCGTAGTTCCCGCCTATTTCCTTAATCCTGTTAAGGAGAGGTTGGAGCTGCATATTTATAGAGGCCTTAGCAATGAAGCCTGAAATTAATATTGGGATATGAAACTCTCTAGAGACATACCTTAGTTAAAAACTCTGGAGTATAAATCCGACCTCTAGGCCCAGATGGTGGATTTTCTGGTGTATATTTTCCGGTAAGGGCACCTGCAAAGAAAGAAGATGATAATTGTTAATCTTTTGCATCAGTTTTACAACAGTGAGTTTGAGATTTAATCATGGGCAACAGATGCAGTTGCTCAAACGCAGGGTCCTCTAGGGAGAACCCTTAAATAAATATAAACAAGACATTTTGAGAGCGTTTGGAGAGCCCTTGTAATTAACATTATTTTAAAATGTAAACTTATATAATTGTATAATTACAATTTGTAATTCCAAACATGACGTGGGGAATTAAGATGTAATTACACCCCGCAAGTCAAACATGTCTAAGGAACTAGAATTTCTTGTAATCACATTAATTAATAGGATAGCAATCACATTTTCATGCAATTACACATTGGTGCCAAAAAAAACTCTTAAAGAAAAGTAAATGGGCACTACCTTGTGCAATAGGAGAATATGCAATCAAAGTGATCCCGAGTTCGTCACAAGCAGCCTTCACTCCGTTCTGCTCAGGTGCCCTGTATATGAGACTGTAATTCACTTGGTTTGAAGCTAGAGGAATGCCTCTCTTCTTAAGCCTTTCATAGGCATCACGAAGTCGCCTCTCTGAAGGAGGGAGTTTTTAGATGGTTACAAAGTATATGAGGAGGAATAAGAACTAAGCCACAGTGGTCCCAAAATGAAAAATAAAAATTTTCGTTTACGAAATAGGAAATGGTTTAAGAATTTGAACAATGTATATAGGATTTCTAAGGTTCAAATAAAACTGAAACATGCCGATCAGTGATTCACAGCAGAAATATTACCATTGTAGTTTGAGACACCAACAGCCTTCACTAGGCCCTGCTCAACAGCATCACCGAGACCATCAATGTACCCTGAAAAATCATTTTCAGCGAACTCAGCTTCTATTCAACATGATTGGGCTGATACACATCCAATTCTAATAGCTTATATAAAGTCTGATTCTTCAATGAAATAGTGGCGTTGCAAACAACCTTCATTTCCCCATATACCGGGCCTGAAATGCAACAGAGATAACTGTGATGAATTACTCAGAAATACAATTTACAAATCTTATAAAGCATCACGATTACGAACCAATGGAGTTGATAAAGGTCAACTGATGAAAGGCCAAGCCGATTAAGAGAATCCTTGAGTGCACTGAGAACACTCTGACGACCAAACCTCCAAGGCAAAGCCGCAAACTTTGTTGCAACAGCTACCTCTTCACCAGGATTATCCTTTTCCCTTTCCTTTATAAATCTTTAGGAAAAAACAATGTATTTTGTTACAACAGTAAGCTAGTAAAACTAGAGCAAGTCTTTAAAGTAGAACTGTTCCTTGATGAAATTTGAGAAAGGTACCTTCCCAGAAGGGTTTCAGAAGTTATGGCACCCAAGGCTAACTACAAGAAAGGAATCATCAACGGTATTCTTCCAAATGGAGAAAATGAAGTAAATAAATCAATCTACAGATTATCCGTCTATTACCGGAGAGCCATAAACCTCAGCTGTATCGAAAAACGTTACACCACGATCCATACTGGCATCAAAAGCAGCCTCAGCATCCTTCAATTTCTTATCTGCCTCCGCAGTAAAGTAAAAAGAAATCAGATATGCAGACACAGAACAACAAAAGCATAAGCAACTAATGCAATAAAGAGTTCTACATAGAATATTCTAAACAGATCACTGTGCATTAATGGAAGCTGCTAATCTACAAGGGAGCACAAATAAATAAACTTTAACTAGAAACAAAAAGATAAAAAAATGCAACAAGATAACATGTAAAACTTTCAACAGATAAAGGAAAACAGAAGAACAAAACAATCCAAAAGCTAAAAGTCGAAGCAATCTGTTACTTTTGAACCACACAAAGTAAAAACACAAGCTGGAAATCATTGAATTGCATAAAATATAAAGAAAAAAAGGGTAAAGCAAAGACCCGTTATTCTATTATTATCAAATGAGTGAGAAAATGATAAAGTTTACCATCCCATTGAAAGTCGTTCCAGTAACTGTTGTCACCCCACGACCAAGCTCCGATTCCTAGCCTTGTCACCTTGAGCTCCGATCCCCCTAACTTCACTTTGTCTTCTTTATCTGTTTTCAGAGCAACGGCGCCGGCGGACTCCTCGGAAGCAACAGCTCTTATTCGGTTCGGTTTCTTGTAACTTAAAAGTGAGAAACACGTACTGCTAACAATCATGGCCATTGTTGATGAAATTCCTTTGGAATTGAATGGGAAATTCTAGACAAATAAGATTTTTTTTTTCCTTTTAAATTTTGCCTCTGACATTTTATTTTATGTCCGGTGGATATTCCCCGAAAGAATGAAACGAAATCCACCAAGTACAGCAAGTATCCACAAGAAAAAATGACACGTTTTTAAAAAAGTTTAGTTTATGATAAGATGCATATATATTCTATGATATTTTTCTCTTATTTAAATAACTAAAATTGATTAAATTATGAATTTTGATTATATTTCGTATTTTGTGGATTAGGTTGAAGATTTAGATAAAACAAGTTTAAAATTTTATGATTAGCATGACCTTCACAAAATCCTCGAATTAATGAGGAAAAATCGTAATTCAAGAAGCTAGCAAGACTAGAAGAGGTTTTCGCGTAAGGCGTGGGCACGGCTTATTCATCCTGAACTATCGCAGAAGAAGTCTACAGTTAAGGCGTGGGTGCGCCTTACCAGTCCGTACAACCCTTAATTAGGATTACGAATTTATAAGGGAAAAAGAGTTTAATGACAGCTGGAAGACTTTTTTGAATTATTTTTATCTTTAAAAAAAATGAGGGCATTTAAAACTCCTATTTTTGTGGGATTTTCTTTAAAGAAAACTTATTTATCTATAATAGGAAAATCCTTATAAAATGAGAGCCAGGGCCATTAGTTTTACATCAAGATTTACATTAAGTTTTCTTTATTTTCTTTTGGTTTTATTTCAATTATGAGTAGCTAAATACTTTTGTTCTAACCGGAGGATAATTGAAGCTTTGGTTCTTCAAGAATTGTGAGATCTAAATAATTTTCATTGTTCTTTTACTTCTTTGCTATTTATATATCTTCTGTTTTTATTAAGAATTATTTTCTTGATTGATTGTGCAAAGGATCCGTTGTTCAATTATCAAGTTGATAAATTGTCATTTAGAACTTTAAATCTGTAATTGTTTAAACGTTCTAATATTAGTGGTAAAGTAACATAGTTGATTATGATTATGTTATGAAGGTATATAACTTAGTCTAAATGAATCGAGCTTGCGTATTTGTTGGCTAGAATTAGTGGTCCCTCTAGTGATTAATGTTGTCGGTGGATTAAATCTTAAGAACTTGTCTAGGGTTGTTCATTAACTAGGAAAATAATCAAAGAGTTTCTCTTGATTATCGAGAAACTAAGGAGAGACATGTTGTTAGAGCTTCTCAATAACCATAACCAATTTAATGAAAAGTAGAAGATGTTATCATTGCATCTATGATCAATTCTCTGAACCAATTCTGAAATTATATCTTTAGTTGAATATTTGCTTAATATTAATTTCTCTCAATTTTTAGTCAATTAGATCTACTTTTTATTTTTACTTTTCTCAATTTCAAAACCTATTTTATTTGCTTTAATTTTCATTAAAATAAATCTATCTAATCCCTGTGGATTCGACATTGCTTATCGCTACTACAATTTTCTATTTCCAAAAGCAAGTATTATTATTTGTTGGATTCGACACCCACCAGTTTCGAGCACTATGTACCAAAAGGATAAATTGTAATTAATTTTGGATAACTAGAATTTTTTATATAAAATATCCTAAATTACAATAAAAATTTATAATCACAATAGTAAAATAAACATATAATTAGGGGAAAAAATATTATAATCATTAAAACAAAACTAGTAACTTAATATTACATAAGGATTAGTCAATGAAAGATTAAATCTAACCAAGAACCTCGAACAAATATAGATATAAATAGATCTAATTGCATCGGCAAACAAACTACAAAAGGGGATTAATCTATTGAAAAATCATCCATAAATCACAAATCAGACTCAAGCGACGTGAAAAGCTATCCACGAACACAAATCGGGTATCCAAATCTAATATAAGGGTCCAAAGTAGAGAATATCACAAGATATCAGATAAGCGTCATCTTAATCAGTCGCGACGATATCAAATCAACTTTGGAAAAAAATAACAACGAACAAATAATGAAAAATGCCAAAAAAAACATAAGAAAACGTATCATAAAGACAGATGAAAACGTACAACACATGCAGACTTATTGAAAATCAAAAAATAAAAGAAAATAAAGATATAATATAGAAAAAAAAATACCGACGGTCAACAACCAACATTAAAGTTAGTGTTGCCGCCTAATAATAAAGACATATCAGCGGCACGCTAAACGAGAAAAATATAATTTTTAGAGATTTTCAATATGTAATTTTGGATAACTCGAATTTTAAAAGTATTATTTATACACGAATTAAATTATCACGTGTAGTTAAAATGATAATTGTTATGCATGAACCTTCAATAGTTAAAGTAATAATTATTGTTCCTGGAAGTTACAGTTCAAGCACCAACTACTACAGCAAAGTGATTGAGTGTTCATTGTCAAAAATGATAGTTTTTATTTTTAGAGTTTTTAAAACATATATTATCACTTATAATCACTCTAAATTAATAAAAAAAAATATTATTCATAAATATACTAATGAATGTATCTTAGAGTATAAAAAGTTAGGCTAATTTTTTTTAATATTTAAAATAATTAAATAAGCCTTAATTTGGGTTAATCTTTTAAAAAAATAAATTAATTATTGATATCTGATCTATTAATATATTAATATAGATCATATTTTATAGAAATATATTTTGAGAATAACTCATCCAACTCAGTTTGTTCCACTCGCAAACGTCAATGTTCATTTCTCCAGCGTTATTCGAGGTATGTAGTGCTTCGTTTACTAAACCAAGTCATTGTTAGTATTTTTTTCAAAACTTTAATAGAGATTTAACATCTTTTTTATTTATTTAATAAAAAATTAATATTTCTAAATTTAATATGATTTAACCTGTTCAAATAAAAATTTAATATTTTCAATAATAACTTTTTAAAAATTAAAATTTAATTTAATCCTTGAATTTATTATTTTAATGACATTCAACTTTAAGTTCATATTAGTTTTTGGATTTATATTTTGTACACGAGATAATCCTTTCCTAAGCCTTTATATATATTTTTTCAAATAAAACCTAAAATTTATTTATTTATGTTCAAATTAGTCTTGATTTTTAGTATATATTTTTGGTTAAAAAATTATAATAAATTTTTTAACAATAAAACATAAACACATTTGCTATTAATAATTATATTTTTATATTTAAAACATTTTTAAATGGATACATGGCTCTATTGCAACTCAATGTGTTGAGGTATGATGATTTAAATGTTAATATTATTTAAAAGGAGAGTGATCAACTTACATTGTTGTAATATTAAATGAACTTTACATTATGATTGGATTTGTTCTTCTATATTTTCGACTGAGGAAACTACTACCCAAGAATAAATCCTATTTAGAGGGCATAGAGGCAGCTATTGACTTTGGTCAACACTAGTTGAGCCTGTAAACTTGGCCTAGGTCCAATCCCAGCTGCCTTGAATTGACCTAAGTTAACCTAATCCGTCTCGAGTCGTCGAGTTAAGTTAAGCTGTTGGGATGAGTCATCGAACTGAGCCATTGACCAGCGTTGACTTTGGTTGTTAGCACACTTGACTTTGACTATTGACCTATGTTGCCTTTGAATAATAAGTTGGCTTCGTACATTGACTTATCCGATTTTATCTATTTTATTTGAATATCATCTATTGTCTCTGTTTTGAAAATCGGACCGGATCGGTCGGTTCAACCGGAAACCGTTGCTTAGTCCGGTTTAATCTAAACCGATTGAACCGCTATTAGTGAACCGGCCAGAACCGCTGAACCGTTCAAACCGGACCAGCTGAAAACCGGAAAAAATGGGGGAAAACCGGGATTTTTGTTTTTTTTTAAAAAAAATTAAACCAAACAACGTCGTTTGTTAAACGAGCCAAGTCGAACTCGAGTATTGCTGAGCTCGACTCGAACTTGAAAACTTTAAAAGTAAGCTTAACTCAACTCAAACTCACAAGCTAAAAATTATCAAGTTCAACTCAAACTCGAAATATAATATTGAAACTTGAACTCAAAAAGGCTTGAACTCAAAAAAAAAATTAGAAGCTCGATTGAAGCCTAAAATTCGAGCTTGATTGAAGTGAAAGAATAGTTCACTCAATGCTTACCAAAAGGCTCCATGATTTTGAATGCCAAATTACCTCTATTATTTATAGAAGTTAGTTGTGATGCGCTTCTATATTTCTTAGCAATGTGAGATTGTTTTGTTCTCATATTTTTACTCTTTAGACTTTTGGGATGCTCTTCTATGTTTCTTAGCCATGTGTGATTGTTTAAAAAAAAATTAAACCAAACAATATCATTTTGTTATGATTTTTTAACCCCAAATTTATTTTTTAATTATAGTTATATAATTATATTTATTATTTAATATGTTTTACCTTAAATATTATGTTGTAGTTAATTTGAATCATTTTGTTTCACTTGATTTTATGATTTTTAACTTATATATGTTATAACTTGCTTTGAATATGACTTGTGATATAAAAAAAAATATTTTTTATTAAATATTTTTGGTATTTTTATTTAATTTTTTAAATAATTATGACGTCGTCTGGTTCTTCCGACCGGTTCGAGCGATTGAACTAGTGAACCGATAGTATAACCGGTTCGCTAACCGGTCCGATTATGAAAACCATGTATATTGTTCATCCGTTCATATGCGACTTTATTCATGCATATCTAAAAATATTCTATTGGGAGTCCGCATCAATAAGAAATGTGTTATCAACTCAAATTAAAGATAAATAAGGTTATAGTCGAGCAAATAAGGTCAGTACACCTTGAACTTTGAAATTTTCATTGTGATGATTTATTTGTCTAATATTGTTATATGATATGATTCTAAATAAAAAAATTTAAATATTATACGGAATCATCGAAGTTGTTAATCATTTTTTTATCATTACTCATAATCCAAAACAAACATTCATAAGACTTTTAGTTGAATATAAACATCTAATAAAATGGAGAACTCCCAAAATATACGAGTTTAACAAAAAGAGTTACGACTCAATTATATATAAGATATATGCAAATATATGCTCTCTAAGTAACCAAGACATATTCAGAAGTTCGAATGAATCTAGAATTCATAATCTGGCGATAAGTTTCTTGATTGGCACTTAAGAACTTACAAACAAATACAATTCTGACGTTGAGGTACGAGTTGAGTACCGCACAAATAACTCTACTATACTACACGCATTCACCAAGTGATTACATTATCTTAATTGGTTGATTGATATTTACTTGTCAAATTTTGGTTAGGGATGGCATGTTGATTGTTACGGTGTCTTTTACTACTGTTGGTATTGGTTATGTGATAGTTGCTTAGTTTTACTGATGGTTTTTGAAGAAGTGTTCTTGTGAACTACGCAATAATCGGTATTTTTCCAATAAATTTTGAGTGAATGTTTTAATTTTTTACGATGCACGTTCATATATATATATATAGTATTTGAATTTAGAACTTCAAAAGATAACAATAAATCTCTTAACTACTGAGGTCACTTAGCTCTTATGTTATATATTTGTAAATATATTTAAATATAGGGGCAAAATCCAATTATATTGTATAGATTTCTTATAGTTTTACATTTTTTTAGGACCATTAGATGAGAAAAAAATAAAAGTTGAGAGTAACAGTAGAAAATGAGAATATATTTACTAGAGAAAAACGAGTTAATCTCAATCATCGATTTTCCTTAATCCAATAATGCTAAAACGTTAAAACCTAAAAGAATTTTACATAATATAAATAAATCATAACCCTTAAATATATGCAAAATAAATAATGAGATATTTGTCATCATTTATATATTGCTTGTAAAATTAGTTATTCAATTGCCAATCATATTGTTTTGGCTTAATACAAAAATAAATGTTTAAATTATACGATTGACTTTTGGTATTTAAAGAACTTTTTGTTAAAATAAGTGTCTAATATTTTTTTCGTTACATTTTTAGATATTTATCGTTAAAAAAATCTCGTTAAGTGATATATGTCATGTTGATTTTTTATTTTTTTAAATAAAATATTATTTAAAACTTTTTTTTTTTAAAAATCTGAATGTGACACATGTTACTTAATATTTTTTAACGATAAACAATTAAAAGTATAACAGAAAAAATATTAGACATCTATTTAAAAAAATAAGCACAAATCATTTTTGAGTACAGCTACAATGGTGCTTGCAAACGAGACGATTTTCTTCAAAAATCACCATAACAGTTTTTATTTCCTTATCAGACACTCATGCAAGTTTATTTTTCGATCTAACATCCTTTACAGAAAGACGCAGCTCATTCACCGCGTCTTACGATGATGTGACGCGTGGGGTAAGGCGTGGCCCATGGATCGCGACTTATGTTGATATGTAAAAATCGGGTGCTAATTTTGTAAATATTTTTAAAATAATGCTAGTATGTAATTAATTTCTGTTAGAGTAATTTTTTTTGTAAAAACGTAAACTTTATTTATTTATTTTTTTTTTGTGTGGAAAAAAATTATACATTAAAATCTTTAAATATTCTTTTGCAAATTATTTTATAACTCTACAAATTTTAATTTTTGCATGAAATTACACGATACGTATAATCTAGTATAGGAAAACTTTGAGGATAAGTAATTTAAAATATGAATAATTTTATGAAAGTTTTATAACTAGTATTTCTTTTACAAAATGATGATAATGATGATGATAATAAATATTTTATAATTTAAAAAATTATAAATTTCATATATTTTTGAAAAATTTATTAACTTTTAAAATTAATTGTTTTAAAATATAAAAAAAATATTAAAATAAACTTTTAATTACAATTGAGGAATCAAATGAATTTTTCTTCATTAATTATTATTTTTAACAAAAGTTAATAATGTTTATTCATTTTTAATAAAATTAGAATTTAATATTTATTTTATATTTTTTAAAATTAATATTAGAAAGAATATTTTAAATAAAGAGGTGCTATTTTTTAGTTTTACATTATTTTTTATTGAATTTTATTCACTTTTAATTATTTTTTATTGTATTTTTATTTATTTTTAAATATATGAGTTATAATTCAAATTAATCATTTATTCTGCTATTATTCAAATTAATTAAGAAAAATTATGGTAAAATATTTTTAAAATAAAAATTATGGTAAAATATTTCTAAAAGAAAAGTATAAATCATACATGAAAATTTAAAGATTTTCCTTTCTTTTGTGTTACTCTATAAATTTGTAACAAAATTCAATAAAAAAAATAATGTAAAGCTAAAAAATATCACCTATATATTTAAATTATTCTTTCTAATAATATTTTTAAAAAATATAAAATAAATATTAAATTATAATTTTATTAAAAATGAATAAACATTATTAATTGTTGTTAAAAATAATAAATAATGAATAATAATTCATTTGATCCCTCAATTATAATTAAAAGTTTATTTTAATATTTTTTTTATATTTTTAAATAATTAATTTTAAAAGTTAATAAAATTTTCAAAAATATATGAAATTTATAATATTTTTAAATTATAAAATATTTCTTATATCATCATCATCATTTTGTAAAAGAAATATTAGTTATAAAACTTTTATAAATTTATTTATATTTTAAATTACTTACACTCAAAGTTTTCCTACACTGGATTATACGTATTGTGTAATTTTATATAAAAATAAAAAATTATCGAATTATAAAATAATTTAAAAAATAATATTTAAAAAAAGTAATGTCATCCTAAATAAATTAATTACATATTTGACATCGTTTTAAAAAAACCGTTGTGGCACATAACAAAGAGTAGCAAGTCCACGTGGCACGAATAAGAGCCTCAACACCCTTATCCCAACATCCACGATCTAATCCTCCTCCCTCATCCAATATCCAAACACCAGGTCAATTTCCTTCACGTATCAGTAGCATCCAAATCCTCATTTTTTTTACATGCTCTAAAACTAGAAGGTGAAGAGCATTGCCACCACTAGCATTGCCATGGCCACCGCCGGAAGCTTGTTGCACAACCTTGCACTCACCACAACAACCACCGCCGGTAGATCATCCTCGTTATCGCCGTCGCGCCGCCAAGTTTCAAGGCTTAACCAGCAGATACTGTGCAGGGCTCAGAAGCAAGCCACCGGCCAAGACGATGACGGGAACCTCGTCTCCCGTAGATTGGCTCTCACCGTTCTCATCGGCGCCGCCGCTGTCGGCTCTAAGGTCTCTCCTGCGGTTGCTGCCTATGGTGAAGCTGGTAACATCCTTTCCTCTTTCTCGTAGTTACTAGTAAGATTCAATGTTAATCCGATTCTTTATTTGACATCGAATATTTGCACTTGATACTTAAGAAATAACAATTATTACTTTATTACTAAGATTACTTAGCTCAAATGTGCTTTTGAATTGTTAAATATACATAGTTGATGAGGCAAATTGATCAGCCATTTAGGCCTCATGAACCTTGGAATGAGGAGATAATAATATTATGGGGGAACGGAGAAGATCTTAAATGTGGGTTTGATTTGGGTATGCAGCAAATGTGTTTGGGAAGCCAAAAACAAACACTGATTTCACGTCATACAATGGGGATGGATTCAAGCTGTCGATACCATCGAAATGGAACCCAAGCAAAGAGGTGGAGTACCCGGGGCAAGTGCTGAGATACGAGGACAACTTCGACACCACCAGCAATGTGGCCGTCATGATCACTCCCACCGACAAGAAGTCCATCACCGACTACGGTTCCCCTGAGGATTTCCTAGCCACCGTAATAAATCCATTGTCCCACACCCTTGAATATTTGGACAAATTTATCAACTTAATCTTTAATTGCTCATTCATTTGCCTCTCATTTGATCTTTGCAGGCTGCTTGGGAAACAAGCATACTTCGGTAAAACTGATGCTGAGGTGATTCACTAACATAATATAGAAATGGAATAATGTCAAAATTAATCTCCAATGTTTCATTTTACGCAAAAAGGCCTCTAGCATTTGATGGAATAGTCTTTTGGGGCATTTTGTCCCTTAATGTTTTATTTTAAGGTACCGTTTGCTAACTAACAATTTTCTCTTTCATTTAATCAAACAATGGGGATAATTTTTTGACATTTAATCAAAATGATTATTTAGTCAAATATTTCAGTCCATATCCGACCGTAAATTCAAAAAAATTGATACCCTTGTTTGATGGTTGATCTATTTATTTGAATTTATGGAAATTAATTTAATTGAAATAGTTGTTCATCTAGTCCCGATTGAATATTATAAACTTCATTTTTTTTTCTCTTTCATTTCCTTTGTTTCTCCAATCACTAAGAAAATATTTACATTATAGTTTGAATATATGCGTGGACATGCATATGTAGGGAGGTTTTGACTCCGGTGCAGTGGCGACCGCCAACATATTGGAGAGCTCAACCCAGACAGTTGGTGGAAAGCCGTATTACTTCTTGTCGGTGTTGACGAGAACCGCCGACGGAGACGAAGGTGGGAAGCACCAACTGATAACGGCCACCGTCAACAACAACAAGCTTTACATTTGCAAGGCACAAGCAGGGGACAAGAGGTGGTTTAAGGGAGCTAGAAAGTTCGTGGAGAGCGCTGCCAGTTCCTTTAGCGCTGCTTAAAGCTAAGTTTAAGAAAAATGGATAGAGGTTTTCATGTAAATCTTCTTAATTATTATTATAAGTTATGATTTTGTTGGATTTCGAATTGATTTGTGTGCTATAACATTCACACCCAAAGCTTGTCTCCATTTAATTGTCTTTTTAAGGAAACTTAGGGACCTGCAACTTTAACCGGACCTTTCCGATAGCACTTCACTATTTATATTTTAGAACTTGACGCCAATCAATTCACAAATATGAGCATGTAAATCAAATATATACAGAAGCATGATAAGGGTGACAAACAAAAAAATCACAAGTCACCAAAATTTTATAAACAAAACACTTACATATCAAACTTGTTAAACTTGTCAAATTTGTTAAATTTTTTAGATTGCAGATATGCAAAAATAATTGGATATTCAAATAACCCCACGTCCTCATGACCGTTAATCAAATAATCTCGGATGTCCTTAGTATTATCCCAAGCACAATACTTGACCATTAGTCAAATAATCTCAAGTATTTATACTATTATCTAGAGCACCATAAATGACCGCTTGTTAAGTTAGAATCCGAAAGTTACACGTAGAAAACATCAAACAGCTAATCACAAATATAGAACATTGACCCTCAAAATATTATGCTTGTTTCAACCTTACTTATCAAACAGTATATTATGCTTGAGTATATTTTTGATCATTTAGGCTTTATAAAACTATAAAACATGGCTAAAATATTAAATATTGAAATATTAGAATTTACTAAAAAATGTGTAATTAATAATCTACAATTCCAAATCATATTGTGTTTATTTTATAAGAAAAACCAATTACAAGGCAACACGTGTACAATTTCTCCAACCATCCAAAAAAACATTTACTACAAAGACCCTAAGAGAAACCAATTAAGGCGGAACACGAATTTAAATAGATAGCAGCCTTAAATCATCCCCTTTATGATATTCTCTCGACCAAGGAGAGACAAGACAATTTGTTATACCTCCAAACAAGACCCTCCACAAACTACCAAATCTCTACTAATAAAGGCTCCCAGAGGACCACACCTTATGAGCAGAGCCTCCAAAATTTATTCCAAAACACTGTCTTCTCCGAAATCACCATGCAGCATCTTGTTCTTTGGAGTTCATGCTCTTCCATTTTTTATGTGACTTTTGATAGCTAAATCTGACAGTTTATAGTCATACCTGCAACACCTGCCAGTATATTAACAGTTAAGAAGATTTTAAGCTTAACACCATCCACCCTACGACCGGAGTATTTATAACAAAAAAAAAAAAAGGATTGAATAAGGTTCATACTTTCTCTCTTAGATCACTCATCTTCTTTCTCACGCTACTACTTTCCTCTGAACTCACGCAAAGATCCACCAACTGCAACTTTTCGCTTGACTAGAAACTGCTAATGAATACGCAATCAACTTATTCCTAATAACAAGATCAATTAAGGGGTTGTTTGTTTATTTCATAATGATTAAGCGTTGAATGATTCAAATGTTGAATGATTCAGAGGCTCTGAATGAATTAGCTATGAATGTGACATGTTGTTTGATAATGACTCTGAATAATTCAGAATGTACTTCTGTGCTGAATCATTCAACACTGTTTTGCTGAATCAGTCAACACTGAATCATTCAGACGTGCGAAACAAACGCGCTGAATGCTGAACGGCTCAACATTCAGCGCTGAATACTTCCATTAAAAGGCAAACAAGCAACCATAAGCCTTAAATTGAAAATTTTAAGATTAATTTATCCAAGTCATTCTAATAGACCAAAATTATCCGTAAAACTTAATTGGGTAAACTACATATTTAATATTTAAATCATCAATTTTAGTTAACATTAGTACATAAATTTTCACTTTTTTTCAAATCATTCATAACGTTTAGTTTTTGTTTCATTTTAATACATCGTGTTAAAAACTTAACGCGTTCAATACCTAACCTATTAATTTTGGTTCATTTTAGTACTTAAACTTTCGATTTTTTTAAACTTAACATTAAATTTTGAACATGGTACTAAAATGAAACAAAAACTAAACTTTATGTATGATTTTGAAAAAAATTAAAAGTTTAGATACTAAAACGAACCAAAACTGATAGTTTATATACTAAACACGTAATTACCCAACTTATTTTCATAAGTAATAGCAAATATTTTTATATTATCATAATTACATAAATAAATAATATTAGGGTAAATTACGTATTTAGTATTTAAACTATCAATTTTAGTCTATTCTAATATCTAAACTTTTTATTTTTTTTAAAATCATACATAACATTTAGTTTTTATTTAATTTTAGTACCCGTCGTAAAAAACTTAACACGATTTTTCTAAAACTTAACTTTAAATTTTACATTAGTATTAAAATGAAATAAAAACTAAAATTTAGATATGATTTAAAAAAAATAAAAATTTATATATTAAAACGGATCAAAATTAGTAGTTTAGATATTAAATGCATAATTTACTCAAAATATTGTCATATTACTAAACCAGTCCTAAATTATCTTATTCAAGCTTTTAGCTAAAGACAGCCTCTTCCTTTCCTTCTTACACGGCTTTTGAACTATCACGAGTGAAACCTAAACCCAAAACAGGCAAAATAAAAGAGGCGCCTCTTCCTTACGTCTCTTTTGCTTACTTTCCTTCGTTATTTTTCCTGCTCTTTTACCCTGCATTTTATTAGTCCAAAAAGGGGAGAAAAAGGGAAGAAAACCCAAAAAAAATGGGAAAGAAGAAGACCCCCATAGACGAAACCTCTGTAATCCGATTATCCAAGATACTTGAGAAGTTTAAGGACGCAGAAGATGAAGGTTTTCATTTTTTTTCTCCTTCAAATTTCCAATTTTGAACATAAACTGCATTGCAAAGATTGTTTTTATTATAGAGTTTTAAGGGTTTCTTAATACTATAGCTTTTGAGTGTGTTTTCTGGTTGTTTTCAAGGTATATACGATTGGTTGTTCACCTCTTTGACATGTACTCTTCGAGATTGCAAGGCGTGCTTTGTTGCTACTGAAATAAATTTACGATTTTTTAGGGTTCTGGAAACGATAAAACATATTACTAGGAAACAAATTTTAGTTTCAATGCCAATGATTGATCAAAATTTAGGCTTTGCTTGTATTGACCTTTTTATCGAACCCTTCGTTTCTCTCTCTTTCTTTTAAAAAAATGATATTTAGGTTAATTAGTTCAGTTTCCATAGGTAGAAAGTTATTTAGGAGTGCCATTAGCTTCTTATGCTCTAAACATTCCTTGTAAAGTTGCAGTAGTTTGTAGTATCTTTCTTGGGTTAAGTTTTTTGTATTAACTTTTTGATGCTCCGTGTAGCATATACCTTTGAATCCAACCTTTCAAACAAAGAACGAGAATTTGTGCACAAGGAATCCCGGAAAATGGGTATGAAATCCAAAAGTAAAGGGTGAGTATTAATTGCTAGTTTCATGCATTACCGATTTTATAATATTACAGTTATAAAGATGTTACTTGTTTATTGTATTCCTCCTTTGTGTGGAATGGAAGCTCACTTCTTTACTGTTTTTTATGTGGTTTAGTAGTTGAGTTTACCGTCCTAGTTTCTTAAGAGCCTGCATTTTGTTTTCAGCCGTGGAAGCCAGAGACAAGTCTTTGTCTATAAAATCAAAGAGAAAGGCGGCGGCATGTCAGAGAAGAATCTAACTAATGTGGCATTTTCAGAGGGGACAAGAGTGGTTTTGCAGGAATTATTTATGAATTATCCACCTGAGGAAGGGGAGCTTGAAGAGAAGGTAATTGCAAAATATAGCGGAAAAAATGCTAAAATACGAAGAAAGAAAGATGATATTTTCTCGAAGTCATTGATGAGTGCTGCAGAGATTGCAGAAAAGGTTAAAGGACTTGCATCTAAGAGAGAGAAGTATCCGAACTTGAGACAGGTTCTTCTATACAAGCTGACTTAGAAAGTTTGGTTTTATGCTTCTTATTTTTCACTGTATGTTATGCATGAAGGGGGGATTTTGTAGTTTCTCTAAATTAGTTCGAGTAAAAGTTTTGTGCGTATGACATGCAGATTAATGAAAAGAGGTTAAAGCTTCCAATTGCAGGGTTTGGGGATGCCATTACATCTGCAGTAGAATCTCACCAGGTCACCTTTTTGTCTTCTGTGTAGTGTTTTTAAGATGTGTATCTGCCTGGTGCACAGATTCATGATTTGTAGTAGTAATACAAAGTTATTTCTATTGGTTCTCAAGTTATTTCTGCCCATGTCTCGATGCAATTGGGTCGTTATTTCCAAATGAGAAGTCTATATTTTCCCGTTCTCGAGTTACAGTTGGGTGGTTGGGATTTTTCATGTTGTTATATTTATTCTATCTTACAAATTCCAATGTAGGTTATCCTCATTTCCGGCGAGACTGGCTGTGGCAAGACGACACAGGTATTATTTTATCTTTTTTTTAATAATTTTTATGGTATATTTTATATAAGTTGTTGAACTAATTGTTTTAGAAGTAACCATTTATGTCATCTTTCCCTTTTGATTGGTCTGCACAGACAGAGAAGTAATGTATATCGCATGTTGTAAAATGAACCATCTCTGATAATTCGAATAAAATCTTATTTAATCTTGTTTATTTAAATAGCTATAAAATTAAAATTATCTGTTTTAAGGCTCTAGATGCTGCTGAAACTGTCTATAAAACATATTTTTATAGTAAAGAGTTACTATTGCTTTTAACTGAACATTTGAACCTGCCATGTTTTGGTTGCCTAACTTCAGAGGTTGCTTTAATTGGTTTCTTTCTTAAGTGATTAAGATGAGCCTTAAATTCTCACCTGTTGTAAGTTGAAAAAGGATTTAGATTTAGGTTGTTTTCTTACATGGAGTATTGGAGTTAAATTACTTCATTGTCGAAATTCTGTACTAAATTCATGATGTGAATGTATAAGCAGAATGGAAAAAATGAATAAGAAAATAGAGTGAGCTTTCTTCAGTGAGCGCTTGTCCTAACTATATAAAATGGTGATGGGTGCTAATTTACTACATTTTGTCTTATGTTATTTATAGGATTCTTAGTGGAAAGTTGCTTGCTGGGTAGATTGGGATCCATGAAGGCATTTCTTTAGTTATCTGCTACTGATCATGTTAATGCTTAGGATAATGCCTTCATTAAAGGATCAGAGTCTAATTCTGCCTTTTTGTCTGTGGGTTCAATCAATTTACTATAGAAGTTCATGAATACCATGGTAATTGTAGTTTCTGATTAAAGATGATGAATTGACTTAGTTTTATAAATGTGCCTGAAGGAGAGCATATATATATATTTAAAAATGAAATTACATTATTAATGTATACAATTATATCAAGCCAGAAATAAGGTATGAGGATCCTTTTCATAAAAGAATAATATCAACAACCAGTTGCTTTTATAGAAGTACTACTACCTCAAAATTATTATTTAATTCAAATTATACCTCAGCCTCAGCCACATAGTTCACTGCTCCATGAAGTACATCTAGGTTTGTGACTTGTATTTCTGGTGCCTCTGGTCCAGGTTCCACAATTTCTTTTGGAGTATATGTGGGGAAGAGGTGAGGCTTGTAAAATACTGTGTACTCAGCCTCGGCGTATATCAGCTACATCAGGTGTGGATAACTTGGGCTTGTTGTATTCCTTGTTCTACATATTGTTTTCCTTATTTTTTCTGCTTTTATGGTGCACAAACCTTCATATGGTTGCTGTTTTCTTTATTTGCTAGTGTCTGAGAGAATTTCTTATGAAAGAGGCGAAAGCATTGGAGAAACTGTTGGATACAAGGTATTGTTACTAAACTTTTTAAAACATACGTGTTGTGCGAGTCATATATGTTAAAAGCATGGTTTTTTTATGAGAAATCGCTACTTGTTTCTCTCTTTCAACAACATGAGAATGAGTACTGTGTTAGAGCCTTAGAGGTAGACTTAAAATGCATATAATAATTTGTTCAAGCTCTGGGAGTTCAAATGAAGGAATTGGAACCAAATTTTATGCTAATGATCTAAAATATCTGCACTTATTGCTATATGTATGTGCTCCAGTGTGGCTCCTTGCTATTTATCCTTTGTTTTTTAGTTTATCCATCAGTTTATATTGTTTTCTTGGTTAGGTTGAAATGCTGCATTTAGCTAATGTGACAATGAACCTTAGATTTTTCTTGACATTTGATGGAAAAAGTTTTAAGTTTATACAACATTGCTAAAAGTTATGAATTTTTATGAAGATTCGCTTGGAAAGTAAAGGTGGTCGACACTCATCAATTGTCTTCTGCACGAATGGGGTATTATTGAGAGTGCTGGTTTCAAACAGTAGATCAAAGAGAGAAGACATCTCTGACATCACTCACATTATTGTGGTATTTAATTCTTCTCGTTTTGTTTGTAAATTTCTTAAACTTCATTTTTCAGATGATTGAAAGCATCTTTCTTTCCTTTCTTTGGAAAAATTCAGCCAGATTTGGGGGAATATTTTAATAAGATGAAAAAACTATATATCAACATAAGCTCAGGAGTTTTCTTGAACCTTGTTATTAACCTGTTCAGGTTTAATAGGTGTTTGTTATCAATGCGGTCAATGTGCTTTCCATATTCTACAATATTAGTGTTCCATTCCTGTTTCAATTAGAATCAACCATTAAGTCATATGCTAACTTCATTTGATAGGGATAGTGTAATATTGGGACCAACTTGCTCAATTATAATTTATATTATCTGCATCCTTTGCTAGGAATTGACTTATTAGGGTAGGGATGCAGAGTAGTGGGATCAGTTGCCCCTGGTAAAAGTTTCCAGAGGCTGTGCTACCTCTTCTCAGCTTTTGGCTTTAGTCCAATGTCCAATGCAGAACTGTGTTGTGGTCTTCTCCTTTTGTTCTCTCCATGATCTTAAATTATGATTTACAGGCTTTTGGGTCTTTGCTGGCCACATGTACTCTTGTTTAAAAACTTGTATCCTCTCACCTTCTATCTACTTGAAATTTCAGGGGTCATGATAGGCACCTTGTTGACTTGGCGTTTGCTATTTTCCCTTTTGGTCCTACTCCCAACCTAATATTTTCTTCCCCCAGTGGTGCCCAGCAGAAAACACACATTAGCGTTTTGAGATCGATGACTGGAAAAATGTTTTCTATTCCTTCAATTGTCAAGCTCGGTTGAGCAGTTTGGAATTTGATTGCTCAGCCAGCAATACCAGGAAAATTGAATAATAAGGTTGATGCTGGACATTTACCGACCCTTCCAAGAAAGAAAGATGTTTTTAGAAATTGGATCCTTTCTAGGACTGTTTCGGTCCCAAAACTTTGGTATACTAATATTTGACGTATATGGGTTGATGAGGATCTTGTCCTCATAATTTTCTTGGGGAACTCACTCTTGTATATCAGATCAACCATATTTAGTTTCTTCTCAAAGCTATATATATTTGTATTTTTTAATTTTTTGCGTGCTCTTGTTTTGTTCCCGTTTATTATGGCTCACAGCTGTTGTTGTTAATTTTCTGAAATTTTTAGGATGAAATTCATGAAAGGGACTGCTTCTGCGATTTCATATTGGCAATTGTCAGGTACATTTTCTGTGATTTGAATTTCACCTGGTTTGCTTGCTTTCACTAACATCAAGTTTCTTATCATTTGAGTCTAAATTTAAAGGCTAAAAATGGTTTAGGATTTATCATTCTTGCAATGTTTTAGTAGCAATTTGGTGTATTAATATTGGTAATGACGGTTGTATTCTTACTTTCTGTGCCTCATCACCGGTAACATAGCCGCTTGTATCCAGACACAACAACTATGAAAATTGTAGGTTCCCCCCATTTTTTGTGTGTGTGGGGGGGTTGATATACCAAGAGATGCCTTTTATAGACTCGAAGTTATTGAAAAGTATACAATGTGGTTGTGTAATTGAACAATTGTACTCACAACCTACATGAGTTTGGTTTTGAAGAATTCAAATTTGCTTAGGTCATCATTGACCCAATATCAGACTCAGCTCAAGTTATCGAGTCGAATTCAATTTTACATTTACATTACATCGATGTTTTATAGACTTTTAGGTACCACCTTGGATGTTTTCAATGTTTTCGGGTCCCTTGTGTTAATTATTTTTCCCTAGGGGCATGTTGTCTTAGAAGATGGAAGATTAATAGTTGAATTGCTATGTTCGACATTTTAATTTCTCTTTGTCAATTTGCAGGGACATGCTTCCTTTGCATCCTCATCTACGGCTGGTTAGTTCTAGGTCTCATGTCTCCCTCCAATTTTATAGGCACCAATAATTTATGTTCTCATACTATAAAATTTTTATAGAAAATTAATCAGTTTTTCCTCTTTTGGTGTATAATACAAATAGGTACTAATGAGTGCCACTCTTGATTCTGAACGGTTTTCGCAATATTTTGGTGGTTGCCCAATTATCCGTGTTCCTGGGTTTACACATCCTGTAAAATTCTATCGCTATTATCTGTCATTTATTTTTTAGTTTGTATCACATTATAATTTTCTTGGTATTCTTATTCAGGTAAAGAGTTTGTATTTGGAGGATGTGCTTTCTATCTTGAAATCTGCAGATGATAATCATCTTATTTCAGCTAATGCAAGTGCCCAAGATGAAGACCCAGAATTAACAGAAGAAGATAAGATTGCATTAGATGAAGCTATTAATTTGGCTTGGTCAAGTGATGAGTTTGATCAGTTTATAGATTTGGTTTCTGTTGAAGGAGGGTCAAAGGTTCATAATTACCAGCATTCCTTGACCGGATTAACGCCACTAATGGTGTTTGCTGCAAAAGGTAGAGTGGAGGAAGTCTGCATGCTCCTCTCATATGGTGTAGACTGCAATCTGATCTCCAAAGACGGGAAGAGTGCTTTGGATTGGTCTGAGCAGGAAAATCAGCAGGAAGCTGCTGAACTGATAAAAAAACATATTGAAAGTTCCCGAGATAATGACGGGGGGCAGCTGTTACTCGACAAGTATATAGCATCAGGTAATCCAGAGATCATAGATAATGTTCTTATTGAGCAGTTGATAAGAAAGATATGTATAGATTCAAATGAAGGAGCTATTCTTGTTTTCCTTCCTGGGTGGGAGGATATTAATCGAATGAGGGAGAAATTACTTGCCAACCCCTTTTTCAAAGATCCTTCCAGATTTATTATAATACCTCTGCATTCTATGGTTCCCTATGCTGATCAAAAGAAGGTCTTTACTCGTCCTCCTTCGGGCTGCCGCAAAATTGTCCTTTCAACCAATGTTGCCGAAAGTTCCATTACGATTGATGATGTTGTCTATGTTATAGATAGTGGTAGAATGAAAGAGAAAAGCTATGATCCACATAGTAATGTATCAACCCTTCAATCTTCATGGGTTTCCAAAGCAAATGCCAAGCAGAGAGAAGGACGGGCAGGCCGTTGTCAGCCTGGAATATGTTATCATCTTTTTTCAAAACTTCGCGCATCTTCTATGCTTGACTTTCAAGTTCCAGAAATAAAGAGAATGCCAATTGAAGAGCTCTGTTTACAGGTACTGCTTGTTAGGTCTCTCTATTCTCTTTCATTGAAGATGGGGGAATATATGCTAAAAAGGAAGTTTCCCCATCAGAAACCTTGTTTGTCTCCTCTCTGTTGAGTTACTAATACCGTTGATGTAACAATTTATTGCATGATTTTGTTCGCATTGGTAGGTGAAATTGCTTGACCCGAATTGTAAAGTAGACGACTTCTTGCAAAAGACATTGGACCCTCCTGTTTCTGAAGCTGTACGTAATGCAGTTAGAGTGCTTCAAGATATTGGGGCGTTTACGCAAGATGAGGAACTGACAGAACTTGGAGAGAAGCTTGGTTATCTTCCTGTTCATCCATTGACATGCAAGATGCTTTTCTTCGCAATATTGATGAATTGCCTTGGTCCAGCTTTGACATTAGCATGTGCTTCAGACTTCAAGGATCCATTTGTCCTTCCCATGCGGCCGAATGAAAGGCAGAAGGCTGCTGCTGCCAAGCATGAGCTTGCAGCACTGTACGGTGGCCAAAGTGATCAGCTGGCACTCATAGCTGCTTTTGAGTGCTGGAAGAATGCAAAAAGAAAGGGTGTAGAAGGACGTTTTTGTTCACAATACTTCGTCTCATCAAGCACTATGAATTTGCTGTTTGGCATGCGGAAGCAGCTTCAGGGTGAACTAATACGGCACGGATTTATTCCTGATAATGTCTCGAGCTGTAGTCTAAATGCAAATAACCGTGGAATACTCCATGCGGTCCTTGTGGCTGGTTTGTATCCAATGGTTGGGAGGGTACTCCCACCAAAACAGGGTAAACGAATAATTATAGAGGCTGCCAATGGCTCTAAAGTTCGGTTAAACACTCGTTCAATTAATTCAAAGTTATCACCCAGGCAATCCGATTATTTGATTATGTATGATGAAATAACCCGTGGGGATGGGGGTATGTACATAAGAAACTGTACTGTTATTGGACCACTTCCATTGTTATTTCTTGCAACAGAGATTGCAGTGGCTCCTATGAAAGGCAATGTTTATGGTGAAGATGATGGCGATGACGATGATGATGATGGTGGAAGTGATGATGTTGATGCGTGCGATACTGATGGAGATGAAAAGTCTGCAGTTAATAAGTCCAGTGGAAAAGAAGAAAAGGTCTTGTCCTCTCCAGATAATTCTGTTATGGTGGTGGTTGATCGGTGGCTATCATTCAAATCAACAGCACTTGATGTTGCTCAAATCTACTGCCTGAGAGAGCGATTATTGGAAGCTATCTTATTCATGGTAGGCACTCCATTGACTACACTCATAAGGGCTAAAATACACCTTGCCCACCTAACCCCTGCCCCCCCCCCCCAATTTTTTGATCAACACTAGAATACTTTTTTACATGTTCAGCCCTCGAATGTGTTTCATTGTGCTTGTTCTTATATTTCGATCGACTTTTACCAGGTAATGCATCCAGGCAAAGTTCTTCCTCCTGCTCTTGGGGTATCTGTATATGCAATAGCTTGCCTTCTATCTTATGATGGGTTATCAGGCATCCCGGAGCCAGCAGAATCCGTACATTCTCTGACTTCGAGGGTGCGTTCTACTGATATCAATAAACATATGCCAGGGATGGAAGATGCGAGTCCTAGTCCGAGTAGGTTCCTTTTATCACTTGTGAGACGAAGCCCCTATGACCGCGTAGGTTTCCAGAAAGCTGCTAAGGTCCCTGAAGATGGGGTTGTAACAAATGGAGATGAGCCAATAAGTTGCCAGCAGCAGTCACCTGTAAGGCCAGTCGGAATGAGGGTAGATCAAGCTGCATCACAAGACCCTGTATCGGTTGCCTCTAGTTCAGCTGGGTACGATTCTTGCAAGCGGCAACGAGGGAAGAGGTCTATGTCAAGGCAGTGTCAATGGTAAAACATATTTTGGGAACAAAGAAGTGGAGAGGTAAATCGTGGATTATGCCCATAGTTTTGAGGGTTTTGCATTTTCGCGCAGGGCATATCCAGCGACTTTTTGTTGAGCCATTTTCTGAATTACAAGCTGATATTAGCACCAACCTTTGAGACATTTTCTTTAATATAAAATGTTATCTTATATATTCTAACTAGTTATTCAATTAGTAATAATTTCGATTATAACCGAACGTTGAAATATCTAATTCAGACCTATCACTACAAGACAACTTTGAAAAAACTAAACTTGTATGAAAAGTAATATATTCTAACGATACCACCAACCTTAAAACCAATCCACCAATACAAGTAAAATCATCATAACACCAGTAAGAAAACTTTGAAAAAACTAAACTTGTATGAAAAGTAATATATTGAAGCTAGGCAAAACTCATCATCTCAATTATATATGAACGTCGGAATTGTTCTTCCTTTTGCTGAAACATTAAAGTTTTTCAAAGGTGCATTCTTAGTAAATCTTCTAATTGTTTCTTTCGACTTTTTTATATCACGATGTTGAGACGCTTCTACTGTGTCGTCATAGTAAGATTATTTTCTTCCTTGTCGAAAGCGTTTAATTATCTCCACTATATTTCGAAGAGAAAAACATTTTGTTAGGAGGTTGGAGAGACTCTGCTCTAGCAATATGAGCTCCTTTACTGTTGCCCTATTAAGTGTGAGATGCCTTTGTCTTAGCGAGAGGAATATTCACCTCTTCACTTATACCAAGATGGAGATGCCTTAGTCACTTGAAAAATTTCTAAAAGTGTGGAAATGCCTCCACAATACCTATAGTGCGCTGTCACAGGTTGAGATACCTCATCTAATTGACTGATTGTGTTGAGATGTCTCTGCTCCTATATATTGGTAGATAAAGTTGAGATATAATCATATTATAAACACAATCGATGTTATTCCTTAAATTTGATTCAAAAGACTGAGAGTTCTATAGTTCAAAAACTTAATATAAGGCTAAGGAAAAACACAATCAAAAATATTATAAACAAACATTTGTGTACTTAAAAAAATACACTTTCCACCCAATTTGAAATCGATCTGATTTGTCGGGATAAAATCTGACCCAAAAAACATACACCATCCCACCTCCAAATACTATTGTTAATATGTAATTTGCTTTGACCCATTCTAAATTCAAACCCAAATATGAACTTTACATCAGTGGTTGAGGGGCTGTCAAAGTTGCTTATACTATTGTCTTTAGTGTCGAATTTAATTTGATTTGTCTTCCCTAAATATTATTTAATTAAAAATATTAAAAATAGTTAAAAAATTATTCTAATTAGGTGATGACACATATTACTAGTAATACATATCAACAACAACAACAACAACAAAACCCTATTCCCGTATGCAATGGGGTAAGGGGGAGATAGGGTAGTAGGCTGCCCCCAACGCCAGGTTGAGAGCAACTTCCGTAAAAGACCTCCGTCAGTTAGAAAATTAAAAATAAAGATAAAATGCAATCCATGTATAAATAAATAAATAAATACATAGTTAAACAATATTCATATACAGTCTTATTACTAGTAATACATATCACAATTTTTAAATTAAATTAAAATTAGAACTAAATTGATAGATTATATAAATAATAGAGGCTAAATGTTAAAGTTAACTGCAAGTGACTCGGTTGAATGCATTTAGATAGTCAATGGTATAGTTTACCCTAAAAAAAACTAACATATAAAACTAACATATAAAGTAGCTAGCTAGGGTTTTCACTACTTCTCTCTCTCTGCTCGGCTGCTTCAACCTAACCAAAGCTAGGATTTTGCGGGGAGATTTTAAAACGAAAATGACGACCGTCGTTCCCACCTCCGAAGAAGATCCTGTGCTCCCCGTTGTTCGGTTCATGGCCGATCTCTCTTGGGCCGATGCCGGTCCAGAGGTTAGCTCAATTTGTCTTCCCGATACTCTAATTTGAAATCGGAATGTTAAGTTTTTCATTAAAACTTGGTTTAATTATGATGCAAAAGGTTGCGGAGCCGCAAGTGACGAGGCTTTGTACGGAAGCGCAGGAGTGTATGGTGATGGGGAGATGGTTGGATTTGGCTTCTTTAATGCTTACTTCTGCTGACATAGTCTTTTCCAAGGTCTCCGATAAAGGTATTATTTGAATAGTTTGGGAGATTTATGAATTGAGATGATTATATTTTTCTCAGCTCATTCCTCGCTTCGGTGGTGTTTTTGAAACCTTAATATAAGTTAGAATTAGTTCATTGGGAATGGTTTTTTTAGTAGCTGCTTTGTTCTCTTGTTTGCTGACAACGTATTTTGGATATAAAAGCAGAGAATGATTCCAAGAACCTACAAATTCATGATTGAACTTTTTTGGAGGGTAGTATGGTTGTTTTAGTTTTACAACTGGAAAATACATTGAAATTGGATTTAGGGTTTGTCATTTTTTCTTTTATTCAATTGGGATTTTGTTTTTCTTTTCCTTGGGTTACGGTTTAGTATATGAAGAGAGACTAGCAAAAGCAACAGTAAAAAATGGACTCTTATCACATAGTGATGATTTGTTCCGGGATTATAGTTCTTTAGATTTCTCTGGTTTTATTTTTTAGAACTTTCCATTTGAATTGCAATGGCAAATAGGAAATGAAATGAGCTAATACCATTATCATCCTGTGAGTATACCTGGGTCTATGATTTCTACAATGCTGTGATAGATTAATTCGTAAATTTGCATTGAAGTTCGATTTTTGCAAATAATTGATTTCTTTTATCATATTTCTTCAGATCTTGAGTGTATCTTCACTGTCATCTGCAATCTAGTCTCGAAGCTCGAAAATCTAAACGAAGAACTTGAGGTGGCAAAACTCATATCAACAAAAATCACTCAACAACCAACTGATAAGCCTGCAATGCGTTTAAAGATGTATGTCAAATGCTGGCTCATAATTCTAGCTTAAAGAATTTCAAATCTCTCTCTCTCTCTCTCTCTTATGTTTCTTATTTTTTGGTTCTTTCCAGCTTGTTTAATCTCTATAATTTGTTGGAGGGCCCAGATAGCCGGTTCTTTGTGTACATGCAAGCCTTAAATTTGGCATTGAATGAAAAAGTCACTGATCATATTGTACCATTTTTCAAAAAGATAGATAGTTTCTTGAAGGAGTGGAATATTGGGGTCAAGGATCAAAGGAGCCTCTTTCTTACAGTTGCAAATGCACTGAAAGAAAACAAAAGGTATATAACATCCATGGAACATGTATTTAGATGCTCTTGCCTATATGGTATTATAAATTTTATTATATTGGTTGCAATCTTGCAATCTTACATACACTTCAAATCCAGCTCAGGAAAGGATTCTTTCAAATTCTTGACCAAGTATTTGGCAACTTTCTCCGGTGAGGACTCGTATATAATGAGTGAAGCCAAGGAGGAAGCTGTGCATGCTGTCATAGAATTTGTGAAGGCTCCGGACATGTTTCAGGTATCTTAATCTTACTAATGTTTTAGATCCTAGCTCATCTATCTGTATATCTATATATGTGTGTATGTGGATGTTATTTCATTTTAAGCTTATTTAATACTTGTAATATCTTTGCTTTTTCAAACACTCCCACTCCATTCTGGCTTTTACACTTTTTTAGCCTCCCCTAGAGCTTTAGTTGTATGGTTCCTAATTTGCTGCTGGGCATGTGTACTCGTGGTTGTTGCCCATACCGGACAAGGTATCTTAATCTTCCTAATGTTGAGATCCTAACTCTTCTATCTATATGTGTGTATGTGTATGTTTTTTTCATTTTAAGCTTATTTAATTCTTGTAATTTCTTTGCTTTTTCAAACAGCCCCACTCCATTCTGGCTTTTACACTTTTTTAGCCACCGCTAGAGCTTTAGTTGTATAGTTCCTAATTTGCTGCTGGGCATGTGTACTTGTGGTTGTTGCCCATATATGAATTTCTGTTCGTTTTTGTTGCAGTGTGATCTGTTAGATATGCCTGCTGTTGGGCAATTGGAAAAGGATGCTAAATATGCCTTGGTCTATCAGCTTCTGAAGATATTTTTGACTGAGCGGTTGGATGCCTATCTGGAATTTCAGGCTGCAAATTCTACCTTACTGAAAAGTTATGGTAAGGCCCTGTCTTTTGTTTTACCTGTTATACATGTAACATGCTATCACATGAGTTAAAGTTCCTCCATAATTTGTATAATTTCAATATTGTCACTCTCCATGGTCCAGGTCTTGTTCATGAAGATTGTATAACAAGGATGAGGCTGATGTCATTGGTTGATCTTGGGTGTAATGAATCTGGACAAATTTCATATGCCCTCGTCAAGGATACTCTTAGGGTTAAGTTGCTTTGCGTCCTGTTTACCACATTTGCTGCATAATATAGTTTTATTTCCATTGATGTATTTCTCCTTGCAGATCAATGATGATGAGGTGGAATTGTGGGTTGTTAAGGCAATAACTGCTAAGTTAATCGACTGTAAAATGGATCAAATGAATCAGGTTGTGATTGTGAGGTAAGCTATTAGCACCCCCCCCCCCCCCAAAACACACTCTCTCCCCTCCCTCTCATGATGTATGTGTAATTCAAATTTATAGGATTTGATTGCTTTGTCCATTAGATTAACATGGTGGGTTCCTCTTTTAATTGAAAAAAGTCCAACTTGTTGTTTAACATACAGCCGCTGTTCTGAGCGCCTTTTTGGACAGCAACAATGGCATTCTCTTAGATCGAGACTAGCATTGTGGAGGGTAAGGAATATCCACCCAATTGATACTTTAGTTATTCACTCTTTTAAGTTTCTTTTCTTTACGTAGTGTGAGTTGGATCGGTAGCAGTTGTAAAGGAAAAGGTTTCTTTCATTAGTTATGAAGGAATTCATCTGTTTGAATGTTGAATTTTTGTTGGTCTTTGCATTGATCTGATTGAGCAGGGTAATGTTGCAAGCCTCATCAGCACCATTCAAGCAAACAAGGTTGTTGAAGAGGGCTCACGGGAAATGCAAGGGATGCCGATTCGGTAGAGCGTTTTCTATGGCTATTTATGGTTAGAAGACTCTTTATTTATCCCACAATATATAAGATCAGATTTAAGTTTCTATGGTTTTGGTTGGATAATGGATTGGGAAATTTTTAAAGTGCGTTTCTTGAATCTAATTTTGACAGTAAGCTTCAAACAATGTAAGAATGATTAATTTGGATACAGTAGTTGATGTGGATTATGTGTTTACACCAATGATCTTTAAATAGGGGTGAACATTCAATCAAGTCGAGTAAAAAAAAATTAGAGTTATTTGAGTTGACGAGTTGTGTTATAAAACTATAACTTATTTTGAAATTTTTTCGAGTCAAGTTTAAGAAATTTGAGTCGAGTTATTCGAGTTGCTATATTAATTTTAGTACATTTATAGCATTATGGTAAAATTTGTTTCAATTTTTTGATTTTTTCTAATCATATAATGTTACCTAATGAATTGATGGGAAGAAAAAATTTGCAATCAATTACAATTAGTTCATATTGAGTAAATTGCAAAGTTAAGGGACTAAATAAAAAAATATATTTTTAGTATAAAGAGAAGTGAATTTACATAGGTATTTTATAGTGAAGGTATATAAGCATGTGGTTCAAATTTTATGGAAAACATACTTAAAAAAAAAGGATGGATTGAAGAAATAAAAAAATTATAAAAAATTGAGAGATTAAATTAAAAAATAAAAAATTTGTTATCAAAGAAATGAATGAAAAGTACGTATATATTCTACGATGGTTTAGGAGAATGTGATTTAAATTTGGTAAAAATAAACTTAAAATGAAGGTAGAATTGAAGGAATAATGAAATCATAAAATAAATTGTAAAATTATTATAGCACTTGGTCAAACTTTTAGTTGTTTCAATAACTCAAAATTTTCAAATTTTAACACAACTCTAACTTAAATATTGAATTGATAAGTCGAGTTGACTCGAAAAATTTAAAATTAAAAAAAAAATCAAATTTTCGAGTCAAGACGAATTTTGTTCAACCTTATCTTTAAATCACTCAAAATCTAATAAAAATAAATTTAATAATTAAAACCCCTAAAAATCATTTTCATATTTACTAATCATTTCTTTAATTATAAATCTTACACCACATATTTCCATAAAAATATTACAATTCTTTTTAATTCTCATAAAATTCTAACTTTTGAAACTTGTTCACTTTGGTCTCCAATTTTTGTCCACAAAAAAATATCTGAATCATCCCAAATTATATTGATTCATACCTGTTATTCAAATTGAAATCAAATATTTCCATTTATTAACCTTTGGACTCCAATTGTGAGTAAATTTTCCCCTCAACTTTCAATCTTTACGATTTAGTCAAATCAAGTCCAACTAAGAAAATTCTTTACTTGTACTTAGACCAATTATTACTTCCTATAATAATAGTCTCGGAATTCGGCATAGCTAGACTTGTTAGAACCACGAAATGTACAATTCATAATCCAACCAAAACCAAAATTTCCCAATTCATTATCCGACCATAAATAGCCTATAAAAAAAAGGCTCTATACAATTGCCATCCCTTGCGTTGCCTGTGAGCCCTCTTCAACAACCTTGTTTGCTTGAATGGTGCTGACGAGGCTTGCAACATTACCCTTCTCAATGCAAAGACCAACAAAAATTCAACATTCAAACAGATGAATTGCTTCATAACTAATGAAAGAAACCTTTTCCTTTACAACTGCTACCGATCCGACTCACACTATGTAAACAAAAGAAACTTAAGAGTGAATAACTAAAGTTTCAATTGGGTGGATATTCCTTACCCTACACAATGCTAGTTTCGATCTAAGAGAATGCCATTGTTACTGTCCAAAAAGGCGCTCGGAACAGCGGCTGTAACTTTTTTCAACTAAAAGAGGAAACCTCCATATTAATCTAATGGACAAAGCAATGAAGTCGTATCAACTTGAATTGCAGATACATCACAAGAGAGGGGGGAGGCTATTAGCTTACCTAACAATCACAACTTGATTCAATTGATCCATTTTACAGTCGATTAACTTAGCACTCATTGCCTCAACAACCCACAATTTCACATTGTCGTAACCGATTTTTGCCCGGGCACAAAAATTTTACTCGGCGGAAAAATAATGTAGATAAAAAATGATTTTAATTTAAAAAAAATATTTTGGGATTCGCCATTGATCTTTTTGGGTTAGGTAGGTCAAATACCTAAAAACAATATTTTAAAGAGAAAATAACCTCAGTGACCGAAAATTCCTTAAAATATACGATTTTGACCAACTTTTTTTCGATTTGCCAAAATGACCAACAAAATCGCAATGCGATCTCTAAACCGCAACGCGATCACTAAATCGCAACGCGATCTCTATTATCGCATATCAGTTTCCAGATTCGCAACGCGATTTTGACTATCGCATTATGATTTTCCAAATTCGCGTTGCGATTTTAGAAAATCGTAACGTGATAATACAAAATCGCAATGCGATTTTCAAAGCGCCATTAGTATCACAACGTATATTTTATTTTCAAATTCCAAACACAAATATTAATATATCCCGTAATCGCAACTCTTAACCCACAACCCTAAATCACAACTCAATCCCATCTCCATCTCTCACCCTCTATGGCGACATCCGTCCCCATCTCCGACGAAATCCGTCCCCATCTCTGGCGAAATCTGTTTATCTCCATCTCTCAGAGCCACCCTCACAATCATTCACGATCAGAAATGGAAAATCAACCAAATCAACCACCGAGGGTTAGTTTTTTTAATTATTTTTATTTTGAAATTTTTGCATTATTATTAGGTTTTTCATATTGAAATTGATGATACGTTTACTGGTAATTTCAATAATAGATTAATCATTTCACTTAGATTGCTTATTAAATTCATTCGATTGCTGCCAATACTGCTAAACTGTTTAGTCTTTAACCCTGTGAAGTTAATATTTGTCTTTGTTTTGTCTTTTGGTTGAAGTAATTCAATTCATTCAAGTTTCAATTTTAGACAATGACTATTTGAAACCGAGAATCGCAACGACAAAAATCGCAACGCGATTTTAGTTTCGCGTTGCGATTTTAGTTTCGCATTGCGATTTTCATTTTGCATTACGATAGTCATTTTCGTGTTGCGATTTTCATTTTCGTGTTGCGATTTTAAGTTTCAGAAACTATTCTTCTTCTGTAAATTGAAACCTGAATGAATTGCATTACTTCAACCAAAAAACAAAGACAAATACGAAATTCACAGTGTCACAAATTTAAGTTTGAAGAATAAACTACTACTCTTTATGTTTATTATTGTTTTTGGTATATCTTCACAGTGTAGTTTTTGATATATCTAACTTGGTATGTTTATTATGTTTTTGTAGAACTTTTTTTCGGCTCAATTGACCTTAAGAAATAAAATAAGCCTAGTCACTACAATTGCGTCGAAGCTTTCACCTGTGCAAAGACAATTGTTTGAGGATACTTGCTTCGGGCCATGGCTGAAAGTACAACATCCGGGTGGAAATGCTATGTTGACCCATTTGTGGCTTCAGACCATGACACGCGATCTACCCGAGAGTATAGAATGTGGTAATGAAGAGATATGGTTTCATTTTCCACCGACGTATACGTGTTTTGGGTAGGAGGAGTTTTGCTTAATCACTGGTCTACGCTTCGGACACGATGATGTAGGTCGATACACTAGTCATATTACCCGCCCATCATGGTTATCTCGGGTTTTTCCTGAGCTGTCAATGGAGAAGCCAAATTTACATGTCGACGACTTGACGAGATTATTTAATAAGAAAGATGGTTTTACTCGGATGGATGACGTCGATGTTGTCCGAGTATGCCTTTTAGTACTTTTGCATGCCGGCTTTTTAGGCAGAGAGGCCAGACAACCTATTCCTAAGGACCTAATATTATTGGTAGAGGACCTAAATGCATGAAACCTGTTTCCGTGGGGTTCGTATCTATGGAAAGCTACCTGGAATAAGTTGTCGTTTGCCTTTGATGACCGTAAAAGTTTGCGTGGCGATGGTTCCAAATACACTTTGTCAGGCTTTATTTGGGCCTTTAAGGTAAGAATTTCTATATAATATTTCCAAAATTATAATTAATTATTTAACAATTACTAATGTTTGTGTATTATATTGTTTGTAGATTTGGATATTTGAGGCTTTTCCCGACATGCAGACATATGCAATAAAAACTTCAAATGATATTCCTAGGGCTATTTCCTGGAAGAGGAAACGACGGCTATTGATTTGGGAAGAGTTACTACGATATACGACAATAAATGATGTAAGTTAATACAAATACTACCATATATAAACAAGTTATTACTAGTACACGTTTAACTTTGTTTGAGCTTTTATATTGTTAGGAGGCCAACACTCCATTACAGAGGCTGACACCCACGAAGGATGAGCTTGCCACTGATTGGTGGCAAGCTAGTAAGCATTTTTTTTGATGGCACGGATGATGAGCAACCTTCACTTCGAGAGCCATCACCTCACCCAGAGCCATCACCTGATCGACCACACTATACACCTTTACAACGAGAGACATCACCTATTCCGTCACATCATCGAGCCTCTTCTCCACCATCACCTCATGATAGGCGACTGACAAAGATGCCACTACATTTATCTCCCTGTTCTCCACCTCCACCTCCACGGGATGAGTTAGGGGAGTTACGTGATGAGGTCAATGCCTTGCGTGAGGAGGTCAGTACTTTACGCGATGACAATGGTGTATGGCGTGACGAGGTATCTACTTTACATAGTGAGGTAACGGCTCTACGTGAGATGGTAGCATCGTTGCAGAATGAGATTTATACTCTACGCAACGAGGTAAGTTTAAGATTTTTCATATTTAACTTGATTGACTCGTAATTTCACTTAGATTAACCATTTCACTTGGATTGCTTAGTAAATTCATTCGGTTGCTGCCAATACTGCTAAACAGTTCTAAAATAACCCTGTGAAGTTAGTATTTGTCTTTGTTTTGTCTTTTGGTTGAAGTAATGCAATCCATTCAAGTTTCAATTTGCAGAAGAAGAATAGTCGCAACACGAAACTTAAAACCGCAACGCGAAAATGACTATCGTAACGCGAAAATGACTATCGCAACGGGATAATCGCAATACGAAAT